ATGTTTTTAACTAAATTTATGTAATAAATTTTGGATAAATAATTCATATATTCATAAATGTATGCATATTATCTATATGTATACATATGCAAATCAAACACGTGTTGAGGGGGTCAAAGCCTTGTTAAAGCAGGCTATCAAATACTCACTTTATATCATAACCATTCTTATGCCTAACCTTAAAGCATGTCTCTAATATAATTTTTTTTTTAAGTTAGAAATAATCAATATCAATATAATAATTATGACATTCTTAAGGCTTTCAAATAGCTCTTATGCAAACTTAAACCACACAAAAGTATCTTTGTTTAAGAGGTGGGCTAGCTTCTAAAAAAGTTTTACATAGCCTTCGACAAATCACTTATGATATTTAGTAAGTCCCAAGAACCTTTAGAGTTGGCACAAGTTTTGTAGAATTGGTCACTCTTAAATATCTTTGATCTTTTATCTCATATATGGCCACCCCTTCAACTAAGATTTAGTGCCTCAGAATTGTCTCTAAAAAAAAAAAAAATCTTAGTATTCACCCTCAATTTATGTTATGCGAAAAGTTGTAACTTAGTTGTAGGTGCCTCTTGTGCTCTTATCTTAATTTGCTGAAAACTAATATGTCATCAAGTAACATCAAAACTATATACCCCAAATGTGATTGAAAGATCAAATTCATTAATGATTTAAATGTAACCGAGGCATTAGAGAACCTAAAAGACATTACTAAATACTCATAATAGTTATATTGGATGAAAAATATCATTTTCCAAATATCCTCCTCATTTATATAGATCTAGTTGTAACTTGACTTGAGGTCAAGTTTGAATAAAATCCACGTCATGTGGAGTTCTTTTAAGAATTTGTTGACCATCATAATGAGCTTATTTAGTGTTATATAATTAATGTATAATTACCATAAGTTGTCTTTTTTAACCAATAAGATTAAACTCAAGTAAGGAATGTTGGAGGATCAAATGATGGATTTGAAAGACATTATGACATTAAGATAATTATTCTAAGACAAACTTCTTCAACTGATTCTTCTAAAAGTGTGAGTACCGATAAGGCTATTGATTCACCAACATTGAACTTGAAAGTAACATAATATCATGGTCGATTGAATGAACTAAGGCAATGTATACACTCTCTTAAAAATTATAGATAGGTGACCAAAGGACCTAAGAGATGCATAATATATTCTACTTGAAGTGCCACTCTAAAGAGTGTTGATAAGTATGATAGCCTAAATATATAAGTATCTACATTTTACTTTAATTTTTGTGTAGTGTTAATGGTCTTAGACAAATATATGATCACTGTGAAGAATGTTGTATCTCATTTACATGAAAATATAACATAAAGAGCTTGTATTTTATATCCACTCATCTTAGTGTGCACCACTGTATACCTGATATGACCTTGATATTAATACGATCTAGTGGTAGGAATCTTGAACAATAGTGTAGTCCTAAATGACTATTTGAAGTATTATGTATAATTCATCTCTTTTTGAGATATGACCATCTCTGAACATGATGTCGTATAGAGTCATATAAGAGGTAAGAATGCCTATCTACTAAGAAGATGAAGACATGAAGTTATGAGTGACTCTTCTACTATGAAGATCATGACCTAAATGTCGTACACACTACCTTGTATACTTTATAAAACAAAATCGAGGGTCGTTGAAAAGTCTCAAAATCGATTGATCAAAAATATTTAGAATCACAAATTTATTAAATTAAAATATTAAATTAGGTAAGTATTATGGTAAGTTCAAAGTCGATCCACATGAAATGATAATTATGCATTACTTAGTTACAATTTTATTTGATTGATAGATTTAAATCAAATGAACTCAAATGAGAGGTGATGGTAAGTAAGAAAGATTTTCACACTTGAAAAAGGAGGAAATAGAAATTTAGGAATGCAGAAGATGATGAAGGGGGGAGAGAACATTCACAAATAAATCATAATACAAAGTTAACATTGTACCTTTATCTATTCAAACCTACAAAAGCTAGACTATTAATCACACTCAGAACGCATCAGACTTGTAGAAACTTACCTCGGCTTCTATATTTTGTTAAGGCTAGATAGTTTTCTCTTCGAGTATGCTTCTCTGATGATCTTAGTCGCAAACTAAAACTTTAATCAACTCAAAACACCTCAAGATTGATGCGGAACCTCAATGTGGTTTCATTTAAGCTGACTAAACGTCGGGACATTCGAAGTTCAGTTTTTTGCCCCTAAATAGCAACTTAAATGTGTAAAGATTTACATGAGAGTATGGGAGTACATGTGTAGGGTTGATTATGTCTTCTCGTGAGCTGATTCATCTGAGTCTGATATAGGGTTGTAATTAAATGAGAGTATTTTTATCTTTTTGGCTGCAATAAGATCATGTGAGAGTCAGTTTCCTCTTGAGTTGATCTGAAGCATTGGATTTAGGGGTCTTGTCATAGTCATAGGGTCTTCTTTAATGTTGAGATCTGTTGCACCCTCAATAAATATGTTTCATTTGCTATTGATTGTGTAGACATTCTCGATGATTTTTTATCTTTCTATTTGATGATGTCGCATGTCAACACCTCAGCCCTTAATTTTGTTACCTCATCTCTACAAAATAAATCTTGTTTGTCAAAGCATATATCGGCTTCCTAAAAACCATAAAAAGATATCAAAAATTCTTAAAATTCTCTCATCTTAGTAAAAAAAATAATTATGATTGTAAAACTCAGAGAAAAATTCTAAAAAAATCTCTAAAATATTAAACTTCATGAAATATTCAAAGAAATAATAAATGTTTTTTTTTAATATGATAACATATTAGATTGTAAGATTTAAGCTATGTTATAATCAACATATTATCAATACTCAAAATACAATTGGTAGAGACTCCCAAAATAGATTACAAAGAAACTATAAAGAGAGTGGCTATCACCTCCTAGTTTTCAATCATTTGTGGTGACAATTCATCATCAGATGTCAATGTGTTATCCTCGCTTTCTTGTACGATGTAAATTTATAACTATGTTTTATAATAATGCTGAAGTGTAAACTTCTTATTGCACTTGAAATATAGTTAGTGTGTCTTGCAAACTTGAAGGTTCATCTCTATCTAACCTAACGAATGTCTCAGCCCCTCTCACAGTGGGCGCTAATCCTCATTACAACGATACAAATTTTTTAAAGAAACATCCTCTCCTTTGCTGCATAGAGTGCGCACATATCATTGTCCTCCTACTTGATCACTCTAATAATAGTCTTGAACTAGGCCTCTGTTGTGAATGTGAACTCTTGGATATTGTGCAAGCACAAGGGTTTAGATTGCCTTACCTCCACTTGAATCTTGGGCTTGAGAGTCTCCATAAATGCCTACATCAAGATGTCTTAATAGAGGTATGGAATGAACCCAGCCAAATGCTCATGTCCTTACAAGTTCCTAGACAAACAAAGTCTACCTTACATGTAATAAACACTAGTAGGCATCGTCATGGGTGTACCCACAATGGTGGGCTAATTGGCACTTGAAGTCTTACCAATCTTTGGGTTCAAATTGATGGTCGTAGTAACTAAACCATGAGAGTCGCTTGTCGTCCAAATATGTCATGACTATCCAAAGCCACTTGTCATCATTAGTGAGGTTAAGATGGAAGAATTGTCTCATATGGTGGAGCCAACCTTTTAGGTTTACCCCTGTGACGATGGAGATTTCTCATTTTTCTACAAATGTACTAGAGTATGTTGCAGAAATTGAAGAGCTTGTGGCCAATCCCACATAGTGTCCCCATAGTTGCATTGATCATCAAGCTCTTCACTAAAAGGATCCTCTTCAAAATCGTCTTCTTCACCAGGTCATGACTAAGTCTTCTAGAGGTTCTCTTGGGCCCTGCCATGCTTGAAGGGAGGAGTGTCATCCATCAACTTGGGTGGATGTGTGCCCATGTGTCGGTGCTGGGGGGACCTCCCAATGGGCGTTATGTCAATGATTTTGTGCATAACGGCCCTCCTCAAGTGCTTCTGTAATGTGGAGTTCAATCCCACGGAACGGCCCATTCTACTTGGTCCGCATGTCATGAGGTAAGTGGGGCCCTATAGCCCCTCCAAAATAGAGCCTCATGGGGGGTCCTAACTCCCTCAGCCTGGTGATCTGGAACTAGGGAAGGACCCGTGGGCCCTTCATAATGATCTTAGCCCATTCAGAGTAGGCCCTCCCCAACCTAGGTGGGTATTAAGCCCGCTTTGGCACACCCGTGGGACGTCATCCTTGATGGGGTTAGGGCAAGCTGCAGCGGCTGAGCCGGTCGAAGAGCCTCAGCTCCGGAGTACGGTCATTATGGCTTAGGATGGCCAGCCTCGGTTCGGAGTTGAGACGGGTGTAAAGGCTCGGGTGGCTGGTGATTGGCCCACCACGATCCGCTCGGCGCCCAGTAAGTGGGACTCAGATGCCTCATTTGACTTTCTGGTCAACTAAGCTACAGTAAATGGGCCGGCGTGGACTACAGTAAATGGGCCGACCACCGCATTAAGCGCTGTCCTGAGAAGGCCCAGGTTAGACTCACTGACACGTGTACCTGGTCAGTTTGGCTGCCGCTTGATCACAGTGGAAACGTGTCATTTTGACGTCAAAGGGAATTGACCACATATCTTTAGTACTTTCTAGACACGTAACCCTGGATGAGAAAAGGAAACTCGGAGCGTACGTTGATAGCTCGGCTGAGGTGCGACTCGTAATGGGCTCATACGAGACCTCCTGAGAGCCCAGCGAAAGAGACTAAATCCGGTCCACTAATATTCCCGAGTCAGAAAGGAGTAAATCGGGGAAAGGACGGCCCATAATGTGTAGATGGGCCAAAACCCGACAACCGGGCCATTTATGACCTTGGAAATCGTGCTATACGTCTGGGTTTGCAATCTACAGCTATAAATACTGTGACGCACGAGGAAAGTCAATGATCTAGCTGCACGAGGAGGAAGTCGGAGAGGAGTCGGCGACGGCCGGAGACATGGAACCTTCGTCCTCCGGTGGCCTAGAATCAGGGAGCCCGCCCTCGACATCGAGCCCTGCCGAGGCCGACGACTTGTTCGAATGCTGCGTTTGCTTGTAAATTCGAACATTTCAATGCTCTCTGTAAATAGATACACGGTTATACATGTTCCTTGGATTCCTTCAACCTGTATCTCTCTCCGCAGGGAGACTTATTTTTCTTTGATTTTATCGATGATGGTTTTGCGTTAGAAGGGAATTTCACTTGTTTTCCTTTCAGGGTATTTGCCTCCTCTTTGGTCATATTTATATCGTTTCTCTTGTTTCCAGAATTTCCTTCGTAGGTCAATCAGATTCTGCATTCCCTTGTTATCGAGGCCCCGAGCACTTTGTTTTCTTCGCCTTTGATCGCGGAAAAACTAATCCCTTGACGTTGATTTTGTTAATATATTCAGAGGCTGTAGTCTCAGGTTATTGGTCCTTTTGGAATCAGGGATATGAAACGTTCTCTTGATACCCTACTATGCTATTTTTGAGTCGGAAAGAAAATTAGGAGCAAACAAGGTAGACGTATAATTCGCACAGTGCTTACTGCAATGATTCGTTTCTGATGTAGGTTTATGTCAAAGGAAGTATACTGAACTGAAACTGATCTCATCTACAAATGAGACCTTGCAACGGATTACTTTCAATTAACTCTATGGATCAAGAACTAAATGATAGCAACTAGATTTCTTACGTTTTTTAACAAGATGAGGCAAAACTGCTTGTTAATATCGATCCATTTCTTGGCTTAGGTAACCCTTTCGTCTAACAATCAGCAATAATCAAATGCTCTGGAAACAACTAATTTTGTTATCAAAATAAGTTATATGAATTTTTCATATAAATTTCATCCAGGATTCTTATAGACTGACTCTCTTTGGCTTTTTGGTCCTAGTGTTATTTTTGGAATCATCTGTGAATATGATTTTAACAACAATATATTGTCTGTCTGTGTGCTATAGTCATTAAAACTGCTATAGAAGAGAACCTTGGGGTTGTTTCCAAGTTTCGGGACATCATCATCATGGACCCATGCTAGCTCTACCTTGAAATAAACAATGTGTCATCCATTCATGACCCTCCCTAGAAAATCACAGCTCCATTCATTCTTTTGTTGTACGAATCTCCCCTGATGGCATTCATTGGTTCTTTATCTTTCTATCCATATTATTACGGGCTCTTTAATTTTGTAGTTCCTTGTGATCATCCAACGATTGCTTGAACATGGTGAGAAGGATAGGTGGCTGCAGTTGCTCTCGGTGCTCCACTATGTTGACAATGTGTTCACTTTCTTGGTCCATATTCATGAGCAAGATATCGTTTCGAGCTCTATATTCCTAACTACAGGACCTATCATCCTATGGAGTTTCCGAGATTGAAGTCAAAATATACATGACACGTACACCACTGTTTGAATTTTAATTCAATAATAGCTCTGGAAACTACGCACTGAGAAGAAAAAACAAATGCGCGTCACTAGATGCTTAGTGTTTTTTACTTTATTAACTTCAGTTACCCTTCTTCTTTTTTTTCCCCTCCCTTTGATTTATCAACCGCAGTTCCTCCCCCTGTGGTACTAGTTCATCACGTTCCTCTCTCTCTCGCTCTCGCTAAAATTTAGTATATGTTTGGTTATGCAAAACACAGTGAACCTCATTCCTAATAGCATAGAAATTTAGGAGCAAAAAATCGCTATTTCTGGAAAATATTTTCATACCGATTGAAATCGTTGACACTGTTTGGCGGTCATGTCTTCGGTCTTCCTTTCTATTTTATGGAAACATCCTCACTCATAATAACAGAAATTTCATCTGAAAAAGAAAGAAATTATGTCTCGATGACATCTTCTGTACTTCGATATTTTCTCTGAACCTCTCACCAGTACTGTCATCCTTTTGTTTCTTATTTATTTATTTTTTTTTCTTGATTTTAAGTAAATTTTGATGGCTTCTACCCTGCCCTTGAGAGATATTGGGACTAATCTTAATGCTTCCCTTCTGTTTCAGGGATCTCATTTATAAGCCAGTCGTTCGTGGTCAGAACTGTTTGTGGTGCCTCGAATTCCGAATATCTGTTAAGGACTTCATTTGAGTTATTCATTTAGTGCCGTTCCTCTCTTCCGTGTTGCAGTTTGTGGCCACATTTCCTGCTTTTGGTGTACCTTCCTTGCCATGGACTGTGTCAAGGACTCCCGCTGTCCCATCTGCAGGAATCCATACAAATATTTTCCTGCAATCTGCCCATTGCTCCATAATCTTCTCCGGAAATCAAAACCAGCAGATTACAAGAGGAGGGAAGAAGAAGTGCTCAGTAAGCTCTCAGAATCCAAACATTTGAACGAATATATTGCATGAATATTGAATTTTATGTGGGAATGATTTGTTACGTTATTTTAATTACTAATTTGGTCGTTTAATTGCCTTCAATAGAAAAAATAGATCACGTCTGATGAAAACAAACGGTACTTAGTTCTCCAGGCAAATCAATTTTGGAAATGCTCTACCTTCTGATGACTGCTCGCGTGACGAAATTGGAGCCCTTCTTATGATGAAAATTCTGCTCTAGTCCTCAAATGTGAAGGATGGGAAAATGATTTGATTATGAAGAAAAATATTTTCTGAGTAATTGCCCATATTGAGGGACAGTAGATTATGTCTTCTTGAGAGACGGCTGTGTGAAGAAACATAGATCCTCATCTGGAAATAGGAAAGTGTTACGAAGTCAACTGTCGTCTTCAAAAATGACCTAGACCCCCCACGTTGAGGGGGGGGCACCACTATAGAATAATGTACTAGGGCCTTCTTGAGAGATGGCTGTGGACTGCAGTGGGAGATCCGTCCCTGGGAATCCGATTCGGGCTCTCCTGTTCTGAGGGTCGGTCCGACCTCAGGAACCCTTCTTGTTGTCTTCGAACCTTCTACTTGTTCTTCCTATTTTCCATTGATAAATTCTTCTGTCTGGTTCTCTAATACAAGAGAACCATTAGCTCCGTGAGAGGAGCCACTTCCAAGGTAGGGCTATGGCGTGCACGCCCAAATCTCTGGAGGTTTGTAACAGAAAGTTTTGGTTCTTCAACGTGATCTTCTTTCTTGTTGCATCACTCTACTTTGACACCGGCTTGCTTGTGGTCATTCCTTTTCGGTCATACAGCATTCCTTTATTATAGCATATTTAGCTTTTTCTTTCAGCTCAAAAAAAAAATTCTCTTTGGATGGAGTTACACAACAGCGAGCTCCTGGATGAAGTTCCCATCGACTGAAGGGCACCCACTTTTAGAAGGAAATAAACCGCAGTTGCATATTGTAACTTAAATTGTGTGTCAGCTGCTTGATTTCTCGGTTAGGATTTTATTTTCGCAGAATTTGGATACCATTCCTTTCTAAGATCAATTAACATCAGATGGCACTTTGTCACTGGTTTTATTTTCTCCACTTTTAGCATATTTTAGCACCACCCCCGTCATGCTCTGCACTTACCTCATTGTATCATCCCTCAGATACAGAAAGGAAGAGGAACCGTTTCTCCCCTCAGTTTATCGAAGATGTTCCCTGCCGTAAGCAGCAACTCTCTCTCTCTCTCTCTCTCTCTCTTCCATCTCCCATCTGTGCCTTTTCCCTCTGTACTTTCTATATATTTTTGAAGGCAATGCCTTCAATTTTGTGCATTCGTCGCTGTTTCCAGGAGCAAACGGAAAGTCCCCGCAAGATGGCGTCAGGGGAGAAGCCTCCGCAGAACTTTCTATTTCTGACGCTCTCTGTGCCGGGTGTGAGCAGTTGCTCTTCCGCCCCACAGTCCTCAACTGTGGACACAGTGAGACCTCCTCATTCCCCCAGTTGTTGCTCCCATCGAGGCCCCCCCTGCTCAACCTTCCCTCCCTGCCCTTCGTTTTCCAGCCTATTGTGAGCTGTGTGCTGTGAGCCTGGGGAGAGACTCTCTCAGATGCCGAGTCTGCCAGGGCGTGCACCCCGGAGAGTCGCCACAGGTTTGCCTCCATCTTGATGCTTTCTTGGAGAAGCGATTCCCCGATGAGTATGCCTCTAGGAGAGCACTTGTTCAAGCCAGACCCCCCTCCAGTAAGCTCTCTCTCTCTCCCCAATTGTTCCCCTCCAGTAAACATTTTTTTTGAGGGAATAATTTTGGAACAATTTGGCCCAAAATATCTCATTTATGGCGTATATTTCTTGGGCTAGTGCCAGACGGATTTATTTTATTTTAATGTGATCCCAGGCGCCTCACAAGCTGAGCAACCCGCCCGGCTCTCCAGGCAGGAGGACTCACCGCCAGCGTCCATGGAGCAGTTGCTTAGAATTCATTGGGGGATCGGATGCGACTCCTGTGGGGTGAGTCCTCCCATCCCTCCCATCATCTTTTCAAAAAAACAAAAAACAAAAAAAAATTCGTTATGTAATTTTTCTTCACGAATAATTAGCCCTACAGTTACTGTTCCTCGTCGGAAATTTCCAATTAATGAATAAATTAATCGTGATATTTTATCCGTTCTTTGATTTTTATCATCTGAAGAACCCTCGGGCTTTCATTGAAATCCACTGGCCTCTGGGGGTTGCCTCCCCTGCTTGCAGATGTACCCTATATTTGGGAAGCGGTACAAGTGTACGGACTGCCAGGAGGAGATGGGCTTCGACTTCTGTGAGGCCTGCTACGAGGCCCGCTCCAACTTCCCGGCCCGGTTCAACCAGCGGCACACCCCCGACCACGTTTTCGAGCTGATCGAGTTCTGCATGGTGAAGAGGCGGCGGGTCGGGCCGGGCTTCGACGGCGGCCCGGACAGGCCCGACATCACCGACCGGTTCTCTGAAAGAGCTAGCGGTCTTTGAAGGCCGGCTTGCGACGGTATGTGAATATGTTTCGCGGTAACGAACTGGGCCGATTGCAGTAAAAGCTGGGCCCATCTACATCGCAGACCAGAGAGCTGGTGGGCCGATCATTTGCCCACGAGGCTTCGGGATCCTGACGCGGGCCTCGTAGTCTGAACCGGCCGCGTCATCAGCCGCCGTGAAGAAACAAAGCAGTGGCCGATCAGTCGACACGTGGACGAGTTCCGACGATTTCTGGCGACGAAAGATGGGTAGCCACGTAGCAAGTTGTTGGGTCTCCCTCCCAGGATCCGATAACCGTTAGTGGCTAGCTCTAATGGACCCGGGATGAATCCGACGTTCATCTCCGAGTCGTTGTGGTAGTGGGACCGGACCTCTCTGAAGTGACTGGGGTCCCTGTTGTTTTCTTTCGAAGGCGGAGAACTGCTGCTGCTGTTCCGCGTCTTCTCCATTCACTGACCCCCGCAGTCTGTCTGTCGCTTCCTCTCTCTCCCCCCTTCTCTCTCTAGGGGTGATATCCCGAACATCAAGAGTATAGTAACGTACATCGTCTTTTCTGTGAGGCGGACCGTACGGATCCTATTAACATTGTGCCAATTAAGAGTGAATGGCTGGGGGTGGGTTTCTGAGGTCGTCCTCTTCCCTGGTGAAGAACAGAAAGGCATGGACTTACGAACGCGCCCCGCCCCTTCCCGGCCCGAGAGAAGGAAGGGAGCACCAGACTGCACTTTATAGGCATGGACTTACTAAGTACCGTGGTATGATTTAAGGTAGATTCGTTCTCACAGCCTTAGTGGAAAGACGATCACATCAAGACGCGCGGTGGAATGAGAGAGAGAAAGGGAGGGGTGAGAGTGAATGAGGCCCACAATCGAGGGAACCCACGTGAGAGAGCGCTTGATTATTGTACGGAAGATCGGGTACCTTCCTACCGATCGCGAATAGATGAGCATGTGCAGCCGCCACCTTTATATTCCTCCTCACCTGTTTATTCATCACGGAGAAAGAACCCCCGGCTGTTGCAAGAACCCATTTCTGAAGCCCTCAGCACCCCTATTGCGATCCTCTTAACTCTCTCTCTCTCTCTCTCTCTCTCTCTCTGATGGCGGGGTCTAGCAAAAGAGAGTGATAACCGCCGATAGAAAGAGGATAGAACTTGGGCTTTCATCTGTCCTCTTGCATCGAGGGAAAGAATGATAACTGCAAGTTGATTGAAGACTCTTTTCATCTCTCACTGCTATCCCTCTTATTTACGTTACAAGGGTTTCGAAGTTAGCAATAGGGATAATTGCAAGTTGCTACCATCTCTCATCTTCCCTATTTCTTCCATGTTGTCGTAAGAGACAGCTTGGCCATCTTCTTTTCATTTTTCTCATTGTCAAAAGGGCAATTGATGTGGGACAAAATGGAAACCCACTAAATTACCCTCACAATGAACATAAAAAGTCAAGACGAGTAAACTAGGTGGATCAAGTGAATCCACCAAGATTTGAACAGAAGGAAGGCATGATTAAAGAATCATTGATATTAAGGTATCTCACTTGAATAAATTAGCTAGGTGTGAATTATGTGAGTCCTCACTCCGCTCAAGACACTTAGCTAAGAAACTCAATGTATTAAACCATGAGAAATATGACAACAAGGTTGCAAGGAGATATATTATATAACAATGACTCAATCAAGAATAAGGAGAATCCATAGAATACCTTGTCACCTGGCTGGGTGATTGATCAGCAAAGGGCTCATGTTGTTATTGAATCTGCTGAGGGTTGCTTGGAGCGCTAGTCAAAGATCAAGAGTCAATTTAAACTTGCAAAGGTGCTTAAACAAGAGCCAAGTGGGCTAACAAGACTTGAGTGTGCAAGATGCCCAATGGATGACGGAGATGAAGAAAGTGGGAGTGAGGTAGTGGGGAGGGATGACAACATGGGATGACAGCTAGGTTATGAGGCCAGTAGCAGGTGACAAGGAGGGAAAATGGAGCAGCTACAAATAGATAACAACCTTCACATCCTTTCCGGAGTAAGTATGGACAACCTTCATGGTCACTCCTTTATGGAGTGGGTTGCATGTGTAAAGAATTTGAGCCAATGGCTGAAGAATAGAAGAAGAAATGAAGAGAGTAGAGAAGAAGATGAGAATAAAAAAGAAGAATATTATTGAAAATAAAGTGATTGATTATTTAATAAAAGTTGTCTTATCTTTATATAGAGTCAAGTAAATAATTATAGCAAGGGTGCCATTGAGAAATTGTAATGACACAATGATGTAATGGATTGTGCAAGTAATTAGGTAAGGTTTGTTGTTGAAATAGAATGTTAGCAATCTTGAATTTCTTGACAATTTGAGGTGTTCTTTTCACACCCCTTCAAGCTCATGACATAAATGACATGAAGCCTGTCCTAAAGTCATGTAAAGTATGATTTGGGTAAGCCTTTTGTAAGCATGTCGACGAGTTAATTGTTACTGGAGATGAAGAAAATATTTAGTTGCTTGGAGGAGGCTTACTCTTTGACAAAATGGAAGTAAATTTTTTGTGCTTTGTTCTAGCATGAAAAATAAAATTTACTAAATATGTGGCTCCAATGTTCTCACACTATAATGTTGGTGGTGAAGCTAGAGACATTCTTGCAAAAGAAATTTTAATCAAATTAATTATGTCATTGCATTAGCAAGAGCCTTATATTCGGCTTTAGTGCTGGATCTTACAACTGTGGCTTGCTTCTTGAAACTCTAAGAGATAAAATTGTGGCCAAGAAATATGAGATAGCCACTAGTTGACCATCTATCTTTAGTGGTGTCAACCTAGTCCACATCAATGCAGGCACAAAGAGAAAACTTAGATTTGTTATGAAGAAGTCCATGACCAACATTTTCTTTTAGATAATGAAGTAGGTGTTTGACTATAATTCAATGATCTTCTATTCACTTATGCATGTATTGACATGTCTTATTCACTGCAAGTGCTATGTTAGGTCAAGATATTATAAAGTACATATGATACTATAATATAAAGCAATATCAAATGAAGTATTTGAAGTATTACTTTGTGAAGTGGTACTACGTGAGAGAGTTGATGTTGGTTTACAATTTGTCATCTTTGTTTTATGAAGAAGACTTGCCATATATTTAGATTGAGATAAAATAATACCATCTATGTGAGGAAGAAGTTCTCTACTCAGAAAATAATAGGCAAGACTAAGATCCCTATAGCAAATGTGATATTCAATGAATTAATGAGATGAATTATGCCCCTTTGATCTAAGTTGATGATAAGAATATCATTAACAAAAATACAAAGATCTGTCACTTTTTTATTCATCAAAATCAAGAGTTTTTAAATGAGAAGTAAGTTGTGTGAACCAGACTCGGGGGGTTTGCCGAAGGCTACATATGGATTTATGAAAGAGACATACATGATTCAAAAAAGATGAATGATAAAAATTGAGTGGTTGTTCTGTGAGGATCATTTCAATTAAAATTATCATCTAAAAATGAATTAAAAATATCAAGTTGATGAATGATCTATTTAAGACTAACTGCAAAAGCTAAAAGCATTCAAATGGTGGTCATTTTAATTACCGAACTAAATATCCCATGGAAATCAATAATTGGTTATTGACATAATCCTTTGGTAATGAGTCTAGTTTTGTATTGTTCAATGAACCCATCAACATTTTGTTTGAGGCGAAAGATCCACTTACATCCAATGATATTTACATTTGGTGAGTGATGTACGAGTCCAAGTGTCATTTTTTATAAGAGAGCTAAATTCAATGATCATTGTAGCTTGTCATGAAAGATCTTTATATGGTTGTGTAAAACATGTAGGCTCATGAGATAAAAAGATAAGTGAGAAGAAGATAGTAATAAATAAAATTAGATAATAGTTAAGTATCCGTATATAGGTAGCAAAGTGATCTTATGAGAACTAGTGGAGAAGGTGTGTCACAATTAGAAATGAGTGGTAAGAAATATGGTGGAGAAGAAGAATGATGTGAATTATATGTAGGGGAAAAATGTTCAATAGAAGGAGAAGAGGTGGAGGGGATGAAGGTTCAACTAGAAGAGAGTCAATATGTTTACAAGATAAAAAAGTGTCTAAAGTGTAACAAAGTGTATAAATTGAGGTAGAATTGAAAATATCTTTAAAATAAAGCTTAGTTTTGTAAAAAATGACATGTCTAGAAATGTAAAGATGATTAGAAGAAATAGAAAGACATTGATAACCATGATGTAAAGAGTTATAGTCAAGAAAAATATAATGATAAAACTTTTGAGCAACTTGTACTAGGTGTAAGGATGAAAATTTAAGTAATAGACACACTCAAATGTTTGAATAAATATATAATCTGATATTTTATAAAAGAATGTCTCATAAAATGATTTATTCTACAAAAGAGGAATTGGTAACTTGTTGATGACATATTTTGCTTTTGATACATCATCATCTCAAAACTACTGACGCATAAAAACATTGGATAAGAGGGAGAGAGTTGTCTCTACCAAGTGACGGTGTTTTCATTCAACTGTTATGTTTCGTTTCAGCGTGTGTGGACAAGAAATTCAATGAACTATTCCATATATAATGAGATTTTTATGAAGTGATTGAGACTCACCTCCTTAGTTTGTCTAAAAAGAAATAATTTTGGAGGAAAATTGTTGTTCAACCCTATGCTAAAATTGAATAAAACTATTGAAAACATCACTCTTCTTCTTTAACAAAAATGGACAAATATATTTAGAAAAATCATCAACAAAAATAACATAGTATAAGAAATCGTGATGATAGAGGGTCCCCATAAATCAGATTGAATTAATTATAAAGGTTTATGTGAAAAATGGAAGGAATTTTAAAATGGTAATTTGTGAATTTTAGACAAATAACATGAGTCACACACATAAAGTTTTAAGTAAATGTGTTACATGTAATCTAAATTTATTAATGACTTGTTGTAAAATTTAAAAGTTTGGATGGCCTAGTCAGTTGTGTCATATAG